TGAGAAGATCATGGAGGAAGAGTAGACATCCACCATAATTTGATTTTTCTTATAACATAATCATATTTCTTAACATTAACATGAATAAACAGTAAACGTGTTAGATTTGCATGTAGTTTTTTTTAAAAATTGTTCTTAACATTAATATATTGATAGTAAACGCATTTACTTGTTGGGTAGGTTAGATGGGTACTTGGGTCATGGGTTAAATAGATTTTATTATTAAAAAATAAAATTTTAATATGACACGGTATATTAAATATGCACTTTTATTTTTTGAGTTAAAAGATAATTGTTGAATAATTTTATTGTCCTAAATAAAATAAAAGTGACTTTGATAGGATATTCCCATAACTTGGGTGACCATCCAATGAAGGTACTCGCTAGCTTAGGATAGACCACAAAAAACCTCCCCACATTTCCAGTTCTCTCTTTGAATAATCGAGCCATCGGCTTCAGAAAATAATATAATAACTTATTTACATTTAAGAGAAATAGAGGCAGACCTGGTGGGTATTTTTGTTGTTGAAAAAATTATGTATCTAATAAAAATGAAGAATAAAAAAAAAAAAAACATACTAAGCCTTAAAATATATGATCATTCCAAACACTAAGGATGATTTGTAAAAAGAGAATAAAAGAAAAGAACAAAATCACTCTACACGAACTATGGGGATTGATTTGTAAAACAATAGCTCTAATATTTTAAAAGGTGTATTACAATTGAAATTCTCAAAAGAAGTTTATTAAGTACCCCAATAATATGACTCTATTGTATATACTCTTCCGTCTTCATGTATTTTAAAATGAAAATAAAATATCTATAATTTTCTTATTATAAAAAATCTTACAAAAATATTTTTTTTGGGTCAAAAGGAATTTTTTAAAAATATTTCAACCAGTTTTTCAATGTTCAAACGCCTGCTCTTTTTGACTCAAGTAGCAGGTCTCAAAAATAACCAAAACAAGAAGCTATACAACCTTACTGTCGCTTAACCAAGAACCACTTGTGAAATGTGGTTCTTTCTCTATCCTAAGTTGCTAGAACTACAAATTAAGATAACTATTTAAAGTATTCAATACAGGTTTGTTTGCATTTTTGTTGACCTGTTATATGTGTCTTTTGCTTTGTCTATAGCTTTCCTCTTCTTGTCTTGAAATATTCTACTATTTCTTTCTATCCAGATATGATACAGCTGTCCGTTATTAGCATTGGTTGATAATCAATTCAATTCAGACTCCCGTTAGTGATGCTCCTTTGATACCTTAGCCATACCAGCATTCCCTTCCACAAGCTTTTCGAGTACTAACAATCAAATCTTACAAAAATATTAATATAATGCTATATTCATTTTACTAGGATGTTAACTATTTAGTTTAGAAAAATTATAATGTATACAATATAATTATAAAAAATAAATTTTAAAATAATTTAAACTTTTTATGTATTTAATTTTATGAATTTAAGAGGATAACTATTTTTTGAGGGAAATATTTAGCTATCCTTTTAATTAAAAACAATAAACTTTTCTTGAAACATGTACTCTTCAAATCTCTTAAAGGCATGGCATCGTATTATTTATACTAGGAAAAATAATGTATAAATACCCCTAACCTATAGTCGGATTTTCAACTACACTCTTTATCTTTAGGGGGTTCTATTATCCCCTGAACTATTTTAAAATGTAATAAATATACCGTTAATTGATGACGTGGCAAAGAGAGAGTGTTCACTCTCTTGAAAGCATGTGAGAGGCAAAATTTAAGTTTAAAACTGATTAGTTTATACATGTGGCAATTTTTTTTATAGAAAATGATATCATTATTCTATACTTAATTAGTTATCACTATAACTCATAGTAATAGTATTTTTTATTCTTTTTTATATATAAATCCAGTCCCTTTTTCCTTTTTCACCGACGACAAATCCCACTCGCCGGAACCGCCTCCAGCAACATCGATAATAAACTTTGCCGTTTTTTGGCAACTTTTTTATTTGAAGAAATCACCCCCCCTCGTTGTCGAGCTCCCAAATAGTACATATGATTCACCGGCGTCACACCTTTGTCAATTCCTCCGGCGACCGGAGAATAGTAAAACAGATGGTTCTAGAACAAAAACCTACCCAAACCATTGCTTAAAAAATTACCAGATCCACCAAGGGTGAGATCCAATGACGATGATTCTAACATCACCGTCGATGGCGAGTTCTCCATCATTACCGCCGGCGACAACTCAACAATACTGTTCTGGCTCGGACTACGATTTTCATTTAATAATTCACATTCTCCGGTTCTAAAATCGAAAATAATTTCACATTTGTCGGCGTCCATGTACATGAAACTGGAATATAATAAGAAAAAAAATGTAAAAAAAATAAATTATTAGGTGGCAGTGCGTGCACAACACTCTCCATCAGAAATTTGGTTGTCCAGTTTGAAGGGTGTGTTTATTTCATTTTAAAAAGTTTCGGAGGAGTAATAGGACTCTCGCAAAGATAAAGTATGTAGTTGAAAATTCAGCTATAGTTCATGGGTATTTATGTATTTTCCCTTTATATTATTTTATTAGTAATAAATCTCATACATTTTAACATGTAAGTTATTTGCATTTTGTTTTGAATAATAGTATTTTATTATATAAAATTTCTTATTTTTATTTTGTTTAGTTATTTGTTTTTTCACTTTAAATTATCGGGGGTCAATTGGTTTTTTGGCCTTTTACAAACTTGTTTTCAGTTTTATGACCCTACCTCTTTTTTTACACATGAGAGATTTACTTTTACACGTAAAAGATCTAAAAAAGACATTTTCTTAAATTTAACATTGTAAAAGGCCAAGAAGGCCTAAAACCTCTTAAATTATCTTAAGTTTACTTAGTTAAATAAATTTTTCTTGTGTAGGATTTCTATTATGTGAGGGGGTCAAATTCATTTAGAAAAATAAGGATAACATAAATTCTACTATTAGTATAAGAGGGGTAACAAAATATAAGGTTGTATTTGTAATTGCGCTATATTATACACCACTAATTTCGTTTCAACATCGTTATACCAATTGACGTCTGCAATTAAACTAGGCCGACGGATCCAGCCTCCGGTGAACCCGCCGGCACTTTCTCCCGTCGAATCAAATCGCCGGCAATTTCAGTGACCTCACAGCACAGGTACGCCTCTTCTTCCGCTCGTTCTGTGGGTACCATCTATGTTTATCAATCAATTTTTGAGCTCATTCTCCTTCTCCGACAAATAAATTCAAAAATTTGCTCGAATAGAGAATTCGCCAATTAATTGCAATTTTTTAAGAATTCCTTTTCTTGTGGGTTTTGCTGCAGGTACAATTACTTTTCAGGATTTTAAGTTAATCTATGCAGATTACCACTACAGACTATTACTCTGTGAAAGTGTGTGCTAATTTATAGTACAAGTATATGAATTTTAACTTATATACGCTGAAATATAAATATTTTATTTTGCTATCAATGATTCTTAACCTGTGATAACAGGTCAATTACTATTTTATGGAGTCACCATTTAATGACTACCATAAATATTTGAGTTTACGTTTTATACAAAGTTAATTTAAGCAATTTTACACCATCATGTCACCTATGGTAAATACTTACCTGCTCCCGATATTTATACAATGGAAGACATATGTCTTGCATATACACCTTTTAATACTTAATAATGGTTAAGTGATATGCATTTTCACTTTAATTTGTTGATTCTTAAGGTTAGTTGTTTAGTTAGGTGTAAACACCAGGTGCAATAAGTATACCTGTTGTAGCAGGTATCATGTCTTATTTTTATGATTATAAATCTCGCATTTTAAGGAAGTTTACCTGGAGACATCCTTTGAGCGAGTGTAAAGGTGTATATAACTTAAAATTCTAAATATTTATGTGTAATTACCTTAAAAATTATCTGATTGTGTAAAAAAGGTTTACACCCTCAGTGCATAGAATTGAACTCTAAACATATAATTGTTTTAAATCGATGTTCAAATGCTTAATCGACTCGTGCTTCTTGGCTGGATTTTTATGTAAATCGTTGAAATTTGGTGCTATTTTGCTTTATTTTATTGTTATCTTTTGGATTTCTGCTTTCATGTGATTCAGTATAGCTAAGAGAGTACAACAATGTGATTGATTTCATATATATCATCTTATAAAGTTGATAGCTGGTTCTGCTGATTTTTCTGAATTATGAGAGAAGAAAAGAAATAGAGCTGCTGCAGACAAACTTATTAGTCTCTGGGCTCTATTATTAAAGAAGATTTATGGACCAGTTTGGTAGGTAACAGAAGTAGCAGTTCAGTTGTAAGAAAAACTGTATTTTCTAGGAAGGTTTAGCACTTTCAAGAGTTTGCGCAGATGAAACAACTCGAAGAAAAATCTTATAGATTAGGTGTGAAGTTACAATCTTGAAAAAATGTTATGCACAAACTTCGAAAATTTTAACATTTCACTTCAAAGTCTTATATGGTTCTAAGATTTATTCTTTTGTGCTTACCAATACCCATTTCATATGGACTTTTCCTATAATGAAGCCCAAAGTTTGTGGTTGAAGCTCATTGGAAAGAAAATTCATTCTCTCCTTTTGTTTATTTTTATAGGGTGCATTTTGAGGAAGGTGAATGCTCAAATTCATCATTCTTTTTAGTGGAAAAATATATCTCGAGCTGATGAAAGTTGTGTCCCTTCGCCACTATGTATAAGCTGGTGCAAGCTGATTGAGTTGTTTATGATACAGCTTTTAGCTTGAATATTCTGAGCGTCCTCCCTTTTTGTTGACTGAGTAGCTTTAACCTAACAGGAAATTTATTCACTAGATGTAATTCTGCAGAAGGAAAAACAAAAGAAATAATGGATGATCGGATTGTTCTTGACAAGGGTCGAAAAAGGCAGTTGCCTCGGTGGATGTTTGCTACGTCTGCTGCTGATCAAGTAAAGGAAAAAGTCAAAACTGATCATGTCGACAGTAATAATAATACAGAGGAAATTGTCACACAGAAGCGCAGCAGGTTGAAAAACAGAAAGACTAAGGACAAAAAGGAAGCATTCACTGAGGAATCATCCACACAGATTTCAATATGCCAAACAACAAAAAGAAGCAGAAGAAAGTTAAACCTACCAAATGATGACTGTAATGATGAAAGCGGTTTAATGGAGAGCGAGTGTGACAGGATGAAGGTAAATGGTAATGGAGCGTTGCCTATGTTGAGGAGACAGAAACAGAAAACGAAGAATTCCAAGATTGAGGGAGGTGATGGGATGGAAGAGTCAACAACAAAAGCAAGTGGTAGAAGTGGCTTAAGGAAGAGAAAATGCCGCAGCGTGAAGGAAAATTCTAATGAAGCTGGCCCTAGTTTAAGGAGGCAGAAACAGAAAGTAAAGAATTCCAGGAATGAGAATTGTGCCGATGTTGAAGAGTTGACACCAAAAACAGATGACGAGGATTTGACTGTTGAAGATCTACTGAGCATAGCAGAAGAGGTGATCCGCTAAGTTCTTTTGAGGTCTCCAAAACAATTCTTCAGTTTTACCAGCTAAAAGTGATGATCACATTTGGCCAGAAATGTTGTATCTCAGATATTTTTACTGTTCATTTGCAGTATGCTGGTGATTCTGATGAAGATTTGACCGTTGAAGATTTACTGAGCATCGCTAAGGAGGTGATTGTTGTTAATTAAATCCTATTAGTTTTGGATCATCTGAATTGTTTACTAAGCCTTTACTTGCTATTTAAAATGAGCGGAGATCCTCCATTTTTTTTATTTAAAATAGGGAACTAGGCTTTTAATCTGCGGCATCTCATTTGAATGATTTCTAAAAGATATATATTGTCTCAGGGGTTTTGTTGTTTGGTATAAAAGTTGCTGTTTCAATTATGTAGTAAATATGAAACCTTGGTTGTTATCTTATTTTTCCTTCCCTGGCAGTATGTGAATGAGAATGAGCAAGCTGCATCAGGCAAAGAAAGAAGTTGTCCAATAGAGGATGCTATTTCCATGTCAATAGGCTCATTAAGTTGCACTGAAGTCGAAAATCAATCTTTGAGAAGAGAAGAAAGAAATTCTGATTGTATTTCAATTCAGACAACAATTGAAGATGCTCCTCCTAAGCTTAACATGTCCGAGAATCCTACTCAAGACATGTTAGATGTGTTTTTGGGCCCTTTGTTGAAGAAAACTCATGAGGAGAAGAGAGTTGAACTAGTTAGAGAAGACATGATGAGTTTAGCTCACAATCTAAACAAGAAAAACCAGAGCGATCCTTCTGAGGGTCAGCCAGTTTTGGTAAAGAAGAAAAGCAGTCTCAAGGACAAGGTAGCTCTGCTTCTTGACTAATAATTGTGAAGGTAACTAGGTAGAGGATTTGGAAGAATAAACTTGATCAAATATAATTTATCTAATTCACCCAAGCATTCACTTGTTTGCATATAAATCCCACGAGAGAGTATTTGTTTATTTGTATATTCTTCATAGTAGTATTTTCTTTATCTCATCATTGTACAGTAATTATGAGAACTTGATTCCCAGGTATACAAAAGAATGTTTTTCCACGGAAATGAATGAACTTAGAGAAAGAAGCCTCAATATCTGTATATTATTTTTTTTGTCAACTATACCATAATGTTATGTCAGAGTTAGCTACGGGACTGAAATCACATTCATCTGATGATCTTATTGAATACAGAAATTTCTATTTATCAATGTGATCAAACATCACACTGATTCTTTAGACACGTATGTTGTGATCAGGGGCCTATGTAGTGTATTACCGACTGGTTCAATTGAACTCATAACTTTCGACACAGAGTAAGATTTCATATGTAAAAATTCATTAAAATTACAAAAATAGTAGATGTGAACCCCATAACTTTAAAAATATGATGGGTTAAATGCTAAAAACTTTAAAAACTGAACTCATAGAGTTTAAATCCTGGATTCGCTTCTGGTTGTGTGATAAGTTTCATTTATAAGTAGGTGGCCTGCTTGATATTTTAAGATAGCTGAGATAGGATTGTAAAATGCATGAAATAGCAAGTTTTGGTGATCTGAAATCAGTTGGTCCTTTATGTGAGTGGCTTACCTTAATCTACCTTGTTATTGCTTTTCGTTTTATACATCTCTTGGTCGGGTAACTCGAACAGATCTTTACAACAACAACTATATGCTTCCGTGTCAAACGAGTTGGACTCGGTTATATGAATCCTTACTAACCATGTTGATTCGGATATATTTTATTTATGCATCTTGTTCTAGAGAAGTGATTACTAACTAGTTTTCACGTGTTCTTTGAACGACAAAGTGTCTGGCACGGGGAAATGGAACAATTTGAAAGTGTCTAAATGATGGAAGTAGAAATTTCATGAATCTATATAACATAGTGAAAGATTTCAAACAGTATGGAAGGCAAAACGTTACTCTTATCTTTATTCATATATCAAACTTAGAACAATTGCAAACAACATAGTACAAAAGTAACATTTGCTGTCACTTTCTAATGTACGTGCCTATGATGTAATGTCTCAATTCACTTTCCTTTCCCAAACAAAAAGAAGTAAACAAAAAGACCTCTCCTTTAATTTTAAAACTATATAGGTAAATCGATCTACATATATATACGAATAAAAGATAACAAAAAACTTTTCTTGTATCAACTCCCTCAAAATTGTGGTTTTCTTCTAGGATCTTAGGCCTCAAATATATGTTTTCTTTTTCTTTGCTCTTATATGTGTAAAATGCTATAGAACAAATCTTGAGAGGCCTACTTTGTGTCCAATTAATTTGACATCTTGTTGAATCTGATATCTGTATTCTCCAAAAGTGAATTTCCTATAAATAGAGGGCTCTTTGCAACTTCCAATTAAATAATCATAAGAAGGGCAAAGGAAATAAGCTATTGAGAATCTCTCCATCTTTCCATTAGCCATCACTTTGTGTTCCACACTTTTATACACATCGTTGCTCCAAGCCTGCATTTATTAATTATTTTAACGTTGTAAAGTATCAATGTAATTTGTCTATTAATGCAAAATAGTAGTATTTTAGTAAAAGAACAATGATATTCTTAGCAGAGTCAGAGGCATATACAAGGTTTGAATATTGTGAGTTTGAATTAAGAATTTTAACACAATATATTTGATTTATCAGGTTGAAAATCTATAATTTGTAGCGTTCAAGCCAAAATTAGTGAGTTCGGATGAACTCATAAGATGTAGGTTGTATCTGCTTTGAACCGATTACTACGACTATTACAGTTAAAAAAACATCAATTAATGTTTCTTTTTCTTTTTAACTAAAATAAAGGACAAAAAGGAAAGATAGAATTTGCGTGATTAATGTAATTTTTTTTTAATAATGGTGATATCCAAGCTATATTGTGCACATTTCAATTATTTTACTAATTAAATGCAAAATCTTGGTGATGATTTGGAGATTAGCCATCAATCAAAGAGAAAATAAGTGTTTCCTCCTAGCAAGTATGTATAAAATACTTGTGTTATTTTTATCGAGGAAGAAGGAATTGACTTTGTTGGGTACAATTCTTGGACAAATATAACATGCCAAAATTAATTTATTTTTTATACGTTGCCTTTTATCTGGCTGATGATAATTTTATTTTTTTTATATAATGACAAAGGAGACCATAAGCGACTCTGGCAATTGGAGTGAATATTGGTGAAAAAGAAAGTGGATTCTTGGACATTGGTTTCGTCATTTCTTGACCAATAAAAAACATTTATAAAGAAATTGGACTTTTGATTATTTATATGAAGTTGATGATAATGACATTTTCTATTTTTAGTTGTAGTTTTCAAATATAAAAGTAAATCGATGTTCAAAATCAAACCAAGAATTAGACAATTTGACCCTGATATATTCAATTGTTTCACCTGTTTGGAATAGAGGATTAACATCTTGTGGAAACAAAAAACTACTGTCATTTGCTTGTACATTTTTATTTTTATTTTTTTGCAAAAAATATTTTTTTGGAGTGTTAATTAAGTGAGACTTTTAAGGAAAAATAAACATAGTTTAAACAAATGTTTTTTACTTATGCTAGTCGCATAATATGCCAACTTGTCGTTATTATTTCTCTCACTTCCTTATAACTTGAGACTAGAGCTGTCAAACAAGCCTGGCTGGCCCGGTTCCGGACCTGCCCAGATCGGTTTTAGTCCGGACCGACACGGTAGTAAGGGGCCGGGCAGGGTTGGGTTGGGACGGGGACCAGACTGCGCCGGGTAGTTTTTTGATATCGGTTAACCGGACCGGTACGATCCATTATGGTCAAGTCACATGGAAACCGGTTAACCGGACCGGTCCGGACAAATTCAATGGCTATTTTTTTTTTTTTTTTTTAAAAAAATTTATAAAGTTGACGATTGTTATACAAAATACAAAAAAAAATAAATTAGCCCGGCCCGGCCAATTAGACCCGGAATCGTTCCGATTAAATTTTGCACCGGGAAAGTCCGGAACTAGTAAACCCGGTAAAAAATAACCGAAATCGGCCCGATAACGAAACCGATCGGTTCCCTTTTCCTCAACCCCTGACCGGCCCGGCTCGCCCCTTGACACCTTTACTTGAGACCATTGATCAATTGAAGGTAAGGTGGTATACTAAATTAGGCGTTATCTAAGTTCGCACGACTCAGGCCGACTCTTTACATATGCGCGTGCCTATTTCGCTTTAGGAGATATCATGAGGTACTTTAACCAAGTCATCCTCACTTGTCATTTCTCTCCATTAATTTCCAAAAAACAAAAGTGATAGCCATATAAAAGTGATAAAAAGTGTACCTGAAAAAGATCTCCAATGTTGACAATAAGTGCATTTTGGTTAGGTTTGACAGCTATCCATTTGGAGTCTTTCATTAGTTGAAGTCCACCAACTTCATCTTGATGTAAAATGGTCAAAAAATCACTATCTGTATGTGGTACTAATCCAAATATTTCTGGAGAAATTTGACAAGGTGGATAGTGATTGAGTCTAAGAAAACATGAACTCTCATTGCAAATTCCTTTGATTAGATTATCTCTTTGACCTAAGTTTCTTACAAGAACTCCAGCAAGTGATTTGGCTAGGTCTTGCATTGCAGCTGCATATTCCACCATCACTTCCCTATTAACAAAGAGTTGGAGAGACATTATATATTTAACTGAGTTTAATCTGATAACCTATAAGATACATTAATAACCTACTATAACCGATACACTTAAATGTCACTGACCTTTACATTGTTAGTATATATAACTCCAATCTTCAAATCCTACTACAAGGTCATATCCCTTTCTATTATTTATGGACAACCTAC